TGCTGTTATCAGTGAGTCTCTTGTAACATTTGTAAACTCTTGTCCTGAGATTTCCTCCCTCAATTTACTCAATCGCTACTGGTGAAATCAGGCCTTTTATTCCTCCACATGTTTGTATACAAATTTTTGTTTAAATGTTTGTTTGCCATTCTTTTGATTATGTAGTTAGGCATGCAATTGCTGGTTCATACAGTTAATCTATGTCTAACTTTTTGAAGAACTACCAAATTGTTTTTCACAGCAGCTGCACCATTTAACATTCCTACCCACAATGTATAAGATTTCCGTTTCTCCATTTCCTTGCTAATACTTGTTATTTTACTTTATTTACTATAGCCATCCTCATGGATGTCAAGTGGCATCTCATGATATTTATTTGCACTTCCTTGATGAATAATGACACTGAGAATCTTTTCATGTGTTTGTTGCTCATTTGTATATATTCTTCAGAAAAATATCTATTCAAGTTCTTTGACCATTTTTTGTATTGTTTATTGTTTTGTTGTTATATATCTGTATATACATGTATATACACACGTGTATCTTATAGCTCAACAAAAAACATATATATATATTCTGAATACTAGACTATTAGAATATTATCAGATGTATTATTTATGAATATTTTCTCCTATTTGTGACCATCTTAACACTCTTTTTGTTTTGTTTTTTGTTTTCTTTTTTGTGTTGGAGTCTTACGCTTTCACCCAAACTGGAGTGCAGTGGCAGCTCCCGGCCACCGCAGCCTTGACCTGCTGGGCTCTGGTGATCCTTTTGCCTCAGCCTTCCAAGTAGCGGGAACTACAGGTATGCGCTACCATGCCCAGCTAATTTTTTGATTTATTGTAGAGATGAGGTCTCACCAAGGTGCCCAGGCAGCTCTCAAACCTGTGGGCTCAAGCAATTCACTCACCTCAGCCTCCCAAGCGCAGGATTACAGGCTGAGTCACCGAAACTGGCAACACGCTTTTTATAGTGTCCTTTACTATAAAATGTGCTTAATAAAACAGGTTAAACCTGTTTTATTGTTTGTGCTCATTCTTTTGGTATCATACATAAGAAACCATTTCAAATCAAGGTAAATATAGACATTCTGTATGCTTTCATATAAGAATCTTATATTCTTAGCTCTTATATTTAGGTATTTGATTCCTTTTAAATTAATTTTTTTTTTGAGTTGGAGTCTCACTCTGTCACCCAGAGTGGAGTGCAGTGGCCGCTCCCGGCCACCGCAGCTTCGACCTGCTGGGCTCTGGCGATCCTTCCGCCTCAGCCTTCCAAGTAGATGGAATTACAGGCATGCGCTACCACGCCCGGCGGATTTTTTTTTTTTTTTTGATTTATTATAGAGATGAGGTCTCGCCAAGTTGCCCAGGCGGGTCTCGAACCCGCGGGCTCAGTCAATCCTCTCACCTCAGCCTCCCGAATGCGTGGGATTACAGGCTGAGCCACTGAGCCTAGTTTAAATTAATTTTTATTTATAATGTTAGGCAAGTGTCCAATGTCATATTTTTATATATGGACATCTGATTTTCTCAGTACCATTTGTTGAAGAGTTCATTCTTTACTCATTAAATAGTCCTGGCAACCTTGTGGAAAATCAGTTAATGATGTATAGGCTTATTTCTAACTCTCAATATAATTGCATTTATCTCTATGTTTATCCTTATAATAGTGCCACATTATTTTGATTACTGTAGCTATGTAGTAAGTTTTGAAAGCAGGAAGTATGAGTTGCCCAAGTTTTTTTTTTTTTTTTCCAAAATTGTTTTGTTCATTTGGGTTCCCTCGCAGTTCCACGTGACCTTAAAAACTAACTTTTGCTGATGTTGCAAAACATGTTTTTGGGATTTTAATAGCTGTAACATTGAATTCATGGACATTTTGTGTAGCAATGAAATCTTGACAATATTGTCTTCTAATGAAAAACTACGGATGCCTTTCAATTTAATTGTACCTTCTTTAATTACATTTAACGTTGTTTTGCATTGTTTACAAACAAATGTAAAACTTTCTGGGTTAAATTTATTGCTAATATTTTATTCTTTTTATGCTATTGTAAATGACATTGTTTTCTTCATATTATTTTTTAATTGTTTATTGCTAGTGTATAAAATGCAACTGAATTATTATTTTTTTTTTAATTTTGAGTCAGCGTCTTACTCTGTTGCCCAGGCTAAAGTGCAGTGACATGATCATGACCCACTACAGCGTTGACGTCCTGGGCTCAGGCATGTTTCCACCCCAACTTCCCATAAAGCTGAGATGACAGACATAAGCCACAAAATCCAGCTATTTTTTTGTTTTGTTTTTTTTAGAGATGAAGTTTTTCTATGTTGCCCTGGCTGGTCAGGAATTCCTGGACTTAAGCAATCCTCCTACCTCAGCATCTCAAAGTGTTTGGATTACAGGTGTGAGCCACCATGCCTGTATGATTTTGTAAGTCGATTTGGTATTGAGCAACTTTGCTGAAATGTTTTATTAGTTAATTTTTTTGCATAGTTTCTTTAGGATTTCTTCCTTTCTTTTTGGATACCTCTATATTCCCTTGACAGATGATCTCCAGTTCTCTGTTTGCCAAGCTCCCACATAATTCCTTCTTTCTTCCTTTGTGAACCCTGAGCATGGTCTTAAAATTTAGACATTTCTTATTTGTCAGCTGTATATCTGACAAAGGCCTAACATCTAGAATCTACAAGGAACTCAAATGTGCAGAAAAGAAAAAACAACTCCATTAAAAAGTGGGCAAAAGCCATGAGCAGACACTTCTCAAATGGAGATATTTGGGAAGCCAAGAGACATGAAAAAGTTCTCAGCCTCACTCATCATCAGAGAAATGCAAATCAAAACCACACTGAAACATCACTTAACCTCCAGAATGGCCATCAGTAATAAAACAAACAACAGATGTTGGAGAGGATGTAGAGAAAAAAGAATGCTTGTACACTGCTGGTAGGAATGCAAACTAGTGTAATCTCTTTGGAAGACAATGTGGCAATTTCTAAAAGAACTAGAAATTGATCTTCCATATGACCCAGTAACCCACCTATTGGGAATATACCTAGAGGAACTAAAATCATCTACAAAAAAGATACCTGCACGTGCATGTTTGTTGCAGCTCTATTCACAATAGCAAAAACATGGAACCAACCATGCTGCCCATCGAAGCTGGATTGGTTAAAAAAAATGTGGTACATATACACAATGTAATATACCGCCATAAAGAAGGACAAACATATTGACTTTGCAATAACTTGGATGGGTTTAGAGTCTATCATACTCAGTGATCTACCACAGAAACAAAAAACAGAGTGCCATATGTTCTCACTCATAAGTGGACCTTGAGCAATTATTGTAATACTATAAGAAAGGGGTTGGCAGTAGTGGGAAACTGCCAGGGAAGGAGGTGGGGTTTAGGAGTTAGAAACTGCTGGGGAGGCAGGGCACACTTCTTCAACAAGGGTAACTGCTTAATGAACTTTTGTATAGCTAACTCTGAATTGCACCCCACATCTTAAAAATAAAGAAAATAAATAGACATTTCTCTCTTTGGTGACATTTTGGTCTCACTGGAGAGGTCTCACAGCATTCTCCTTTGACCTTAAATGCTCATTGTTTTTCATGGAGTGAGTTGTGTCACAGAATGGGGCAGACCGTACTTGCTTCAGGAGTGTTTCATCAATTTCTTGCTTCTTGACTAAGCTTTATTAGCCCTTTAACCTCATGGTGTTTAGAGCTATCCTTTTTTTAGTACCATATAATTAAGTTTATATTTTAAAAATACAAGTATCTTCTCCCAAAACAGTATATTTTTCCATTTCAAATAAAGAGCAATAAAGTTTTCTTTGTACCAAGTGAAAACAGACCCCAGCCAAATCCCTGACTGAGTGATGCCCCATTTCCTGTTGGGAATGTGTGGGTGATGTTGGTGCAACAGACTGAAACTAAATGTGTCCTGATCAGTTATGAAGGTCTCTTACATACCAACCTCCTGTCCAGGACATATTGCTCCATTACCCTTGGAGTTTAAAACTATCATGGATTCTTTTTATTTTTCTGTCTTAATTTCAGTGTGACCCATGTCCTTCCTTCCACTCCTCCCCTTGTTTGGGAGAGCCTTGTGACTGCTGCTGTAACCACATCACACTACCTCTCCTGTAGTAGCATGCCACTAGGTGGCTCCACAGGCAGGTGCCAGCCTGGCTCATGAGGTCCTTCTCTAGCCCTGCCAATGGCAGTCAAGGTGCTTAGAGCTTGAAACAAAGGACATTTCCAAGGAACTCCATCTCAGGCCCATTCTAGACCACATTTGTGGGCAGCTCTGCTGTAGTCTGATGATCAGGTTTTGATGCTCAGGGGATACTGAAACTGCATTCCCCTTCCCATTCTTCCAGCTCGGTGAAGCCTCTTGTCCTTTTATTTCTCAAGGGTAAAGCCTGTGTCTACTCTCCCAATCAGATAACCTGGGCCAGTTGGCTTGATGGGACTCTAACTTCACCACACAAGGGCTGGTTCTGGGGCATTATCCAGACATTCTTCCCAGAATCCTGAGAATCCCTGCATGGCAGGATCTTCCATTTGACTCTGAAAGCAGCAGTTGAAGATACTTGGGAGTCTCAGGCAGACCTCCTACAGCTCCTACTGGCTGCCACAAGCTGCACTTTGGTCAGTTCAAAGTACTGACAGTCACAGGGGCTTCTTTTGCTGGCCCAGCTGTATCAATAGACATGGAAATGGTGTGAGGCATGTTCTCAGCATGATGTGAACTTTGTAGGTGGATGAGTTATCCCAGGAGCACATAGGGACTGAGAAGGGATGAGGCCTGGGTCTGAGAACATTGACATGTTACTGAACAGAGTAAGAGCATCTCAGGAGGGACCCTGCGAACAGAAGCCAGAGAGGAGAGAGAATCCAGGAAGTGTATGCAATGTTCTTAAATGCTGAGCTTCTGTCTTGAGGGGCACAGGAATCTCAGACTGCCAAGCTAGGTCCTATAATACCTGCCTGCAGCTGGCTCTTCAGGCATGTGGGCCTGCCAGTTAAATGCTCTAAAGATGTGGAGCTTGCTGTCTTGAGTCCACAGCTTCAGACAGTCCCACAGGAGCACAGAACACCTCATTCCCCTCATCTGAGGGACATTTGAGAAAGGAAAGACTGCTAAATGTAGCTGATCTGGTGGGAAGCTCTTGCTACTATATGTTTCCAAACCCTCCAGAACTTTCTAACAAGCAAATAGCCTTTGAGGACAAGGGGACTAAGGTGTTCTTCCAGGCCTGTTCTTCTACAGTGCAAGATGGTATAAGGGGAGAAGTCACAAGAAATTCACATTTCTAGAACTCCTGATGAGTATGTTACTTTGTTCAGGAGCCCAAAGTTTTTGTGAGAATGTGTGTCTGCCATAATCTTGTTTTAACATGGTGAGATCAATTCCATCTCAGTTTATGATTGGGATCTCACTGAATGGTAAGTAGAAGGCAAACTAAATCAAAACATTGCTATTTTCAAGTAGAATCCTTAGGGTGCTTGGACAACTCAGTGTCATTAGAGAACTTAGACAGCACACAACTTCTCCCCTGCTCTGTTGGTGATGGAGAAAAAACAGCAGAGATACCACAACCACAGAAAACTTCCCTGGGAGTGAGGGAGGGAGGAGGAAGGTGGACAAGGATGCCTGAGTGGACTGGACGCCCTTCCCCCACCCAGACACAAAATCTTGCCTTTTTATTGTCCTCCAGCTTTTCAACTCAACTTTAGCCCCACCCATCACTGGGGTGGCCACAGGTACCCTGGCCCAGTGTGACAAGTTGGGAATCTCCTGCCTCTGCTGGACCTCAGACCTCCCTCTCCTGCAGCCCCAAACCAAGCTGCACACCCTGACACTTCCCCCCATGGTTTATGATGTAGTGCAAGGGATGTTTGATCAGGTGCTTTAACTAGACACAAACAGCTGCTTCAGTGTGTAAGTACATCCTATGTGCTCTAGAATAGTCTTTTCCCGACTCTAAGTGCTTTCACTCGGTACCAAGAAACCAGCTCCTCCTCCAGGTGTTAAAAGTGATCTCATTGAATGGAAGTGAAGGACAGTCATTGTTTTCATGTGCTGTCCAAGAGCAGAGCATTTTCATGACAATCTTAAAGGAGAGTGGGAAGCTCTTGTTCAGTTTTCCATCCCAGGAATGAGCCCAGGGCCTCAACTCCACATCCTCTCCCCTCTAGTCCTTTTCACCACAGTGTAGGTCATGCACGTTCCTTCTTTCTCAACTGCTGCATCATTCACCTGAGACCGCCTTGTCTTATGTGTACAATTGGGGACCCCAAAACCCGAATTTTTTGTGGGGAAGGGTGAGTCTTTTGTAGTACACTCAGAATTTTTTTCTCCTGATCAAACCATTCACTAAAGTTTTTAACGGGAAGTTTCGAGATGGCTGTATCATGATTTGCTAAGGAACCGTCCCCAGTTGTGGCAAACAGTGACCAGTTCTACCACATAACAATGCATCTGCCCACAGCAGGTTGAGTGATCAGCAGTCTTTGACTAAAAATAGCATGTCTCCCACTTCTCACTCTCTCTTTTACTGGTTCTTGCCCCAAGCCACTTTTGTTGTTGTTTTATACTTTTAAATATTTTTTTTCTAAATTTTTGAGTCAAATTCTCACTCTGTGGCCAAGGCTGGAGTGATTGGCATGATCACAACAACCACAGACTTAACCTGCTGGTCTCAGGTGATCCTTTTGTCTTATCCTTCCAGATAGCTGGAACTACAGGTGCATGCCACCGTGCCTGGCTAGTTTTAATATTTATTGAAGAGACAAGGTCTCACCAAGTTGCCCTGGCTGGTCTCGAATCCTTGGGCTCAGGCTCTTACATCTGCCTCCCCAAATGCTGGGATTACAGGCATGAGCCACTGTACCTGGCTACTTTTTTAAAAAAATATGAACAAGTTATTACATATTAATTATACTTTAGTAGAAGAGATTTAAAAATAGGCTACAGCCAAAGGAAGAGGGAATTCGCACTGAAGACTGATAAAAGGATGCCACAGGTCTGGAAACTCACAGAAATAAGGAAAGGAGGATGGTGAATATGCAAGGTTTCCCTTAAAGAAGGGTCTGAGATGACACAGGTGGACAGTCACCTCAACCCTGGACTTCAGAGCAAAGACCCTACATCCCAAACTGCAGGGAGCAAGACTTCCTGTTTCCTGGAGGCAGTTTTCTAGGAAGAAGTTGCTGTATGTGACTGTGAGGGCAGAAAGGGAGGAGAAGCCTCCACTCCCTGACTGGACCGTGGGTGAACCTGGTCCCATGAGTTTGGCAGTAGCATCAGAAGCCACAGGCTAGGCCTGAGTAGCAGCTGCCAGGCACTCACCTTCCTGGTAGAGGAAGTAGGTTTTTGTTTCACTTCCCTGTGGCTCTGGAGCACTGTGTAAATTTTGAGGCCTTTGTCATAGGCCTGACAGAAATAACCAGCCTCATCTCCAGGCTGGAGCCCAGTGATTGTCAGGGAGCCCGAGGAGCCAGACTTGGAACCAGAGAATCGGTCAGGGACACCCGAGGGCCGATTGCTATTACTATAGATGAGGAGTTTGGGGGCTGCTCCTGAAAGCTGCTGGTACCAATGCACAGGATACCCAGCTCCGATGTTGCTGCTGCTTCCAGTGCAGGAGATGGTGACCCTCTGTCCTAGATTCCCAGAGACTGACGCTGGCTGAGTCAGCACAGACTGGGCCTGGGATCCTAGAAATGAGAGAGACACACAAATGGTGATTCGGGGTTCAGAGACAAGAGGAGTAAGCTGGGCTTCAAGGTTTTTCCAGGGCCCATCCCCTGGCCCCATATCTAGTCACCTGTACAGAAAGCGAGGAAAGTGAGCAGGAGAGGGGACCAGTCCATAGTGAATATTCTGCCTTCTGTGCCAAAAACTGAAGCAGTGCTTCCCCCAAATCTCTCCCTTTCCCTCTTCATACCATAAGTGTGGGAGGGTCCATTCATGCAAATGAGGCCACCCCCAAAATTTCTGATCCTATCCTGAGCCCTGGATCAGCTCTTTGTCTGAGGGTGTCAGGGTGATGGGCAGGGGTGGCGCTGTGGGGGTTGGGGGAGGAGAGGACACAGCTGTGAGACTTGAGCAGAAAGCACACAACAGGGAGGACCAGGTGACTGGTCCCAGCTCTGATCACACCCCAGCCCCTCAGGAACAGGCTCTGAGCGCCCCTTGGTGTCCAGGCCCAGAAATACCATCCTATGACAGTGACTAGAGCCCCTCAGAGCAAGCCTTGCCTCCCTGCTGCTCTGTCCTTAGGTGCTTGTCTCAGGGCCATGCCAAGAGGCCCCTAATGTAGCCTCCCCACTACCTGAAGGCAGGTTATGCTGAATCAGACTCCTCAGGGATGAGTCTGTCCATGACTCCCTTGCTTGTTCGTTGGATCATGAAGGACTCCAATCTCTTATACAAAATCTTTAGATCAGGGCCAAGGTCAGAGCAGACTAGTTCCCATGAACTGTGCCTGAAACCTGATTCTTTCCTCTCTTGTGATTCCTCCTTGGTGGCCAGCTCTCTTCTTCCTCTGTGATTCCTTCAGTGCTGAAGAGAAAGGGAGTTTTTCTTTCAATGGTTTGATAGGGGGGAAGAAGCTGAGTGTGCATTCCTAGAAAGTTATGAGGTAGAAATCCTTACTGGTTTATGTTTCCACAAACTTCAACAAAACTCATTGTTATACTATGACCTGTGATTGATTCCTAGTAATCTATTCTAAGCACAAAATACAGTTTTCAAAGAGTCATTTGAAATGACATTATTTACAGTATTTGTGGGAAATGCAGTAATGTTCAAGAATGTAATGTGTTAAACCTTTAAGTTACTTGGGCCAGTGCCTGGTTCCAGATGAGCCTGTTGTGAGTGCTGTTGTGATCAATGGTTCCAAACAGAGGGTTAGGGAAAAAAATATGGTGTATTTTCAAGAATGATTGTTGTCAATTTGTTTTAAAATGAGAAAAAATAATAATCTCTGACTTGAAGAAACAAGATGTATATTATTATTTTGTCAACAAAATCAAGTTTCTGCAAAAAGATAATACCATTTTCTCATACCACCAGAAAAAAACAAAGGTTTTTAGAAGAGTTCTGGAAGAATAAACACCAGGCTTTGACCTATTTTATTTTGAGAAACCACCTGACTTAGAGAGGAATAGCAGGATTGTCTGTCTGACATCTTTATTTTGAGTGTGTCACAATGTGGTCCTGCTATTATGAAGTTTTAAATTCATGATGTTTTAAAATCAGATTAATAAATGTCTAAAGTAGTCAAGTAAACAAAACAGGTCTATATATGTATCTGAAAGAAAATATACATTTTAATTTTAAATTTATCAGCATAACCTTGTGATATTATTTTAAAGTCTTTTTTAAACAGGCAGTTTTAGATTTGATGGTTTAAATCACAAGGCAGTTTTTTATAAAACTTTATTCATTAACATGTGGAAGCCTGTGCTTGCAACCTGCGTTTTCTTTGCTTTTTTTTTGAGTTGGATTCTCTCTCTGTTGCCCAGACTAGAGTGCAGTGGCATACTCGTGGCCACCACAGCCTCCACCTGATGGGCTTAGGTGATCTTTCCGCCTAGCCTTCCAAGTAGCCAGAACTACAGGCATGCACCACCAAGCTTGGTTAATTTTTTGATTTATTGTAGAGATGAAGTCTTGTCAATCACCCAGGGTGTTCTTGAACCCATGGGCTCAGACAATCCTCTCACCTCAGCCTCTCAAAGTGCTGGGATTATAGGCATGAGCTACCGCACCTGTCCCGCAAGTTGCATTTTCTAAAAATTGCCTCCACTTTGATGATGCCATGCTTTTTTAATAGCAAATTTTGTTTTCTTTTTTGTTTCAGTTTAATGAACAGGATTTCCTAGACTGAGCAGTCTCTCACACCCAGACAAGGCTGTCTATGTCCACTTTTTGCCTGTAAGTGCTCTTCCTGGTTGGTACCCTTCAGCTTTCAGGCTGTGGGCCGTGACACGAGCATGCCCTCAGCTGAATCTCCTAGTGAAGCCCCATCCTGGACTCAAAGCAATGTAGCCAATGAGGTGAGAGGCCATTCTGCATTTAGTAAATAATAATGAAGCACCTAACTTGTGTTGAGTGCAGAATTTGGCAGTGGATTTACCAGGCTGAGCTAGATAGCTTCATCCCTGCTCCATGGAACTGAACTTGATGAGCAAAAATAAGAGTTTAAATCATACAAGTGTCTCCATTCTTCACATTCACCACTGGAGCCAGTAGACCACTGGAGTCCCTGGCACACTTGGTTCTGAAGTTATAAAAAACGGTAGTAACATGGGAAGGAGGGATGATAAAAAAACATAAAGAAATGAGGGAATAGTTCTTGGGTTTAAGTAAAAATGATGAGAAGTTCATTAAGTAGATGCTTTTGGGATAAGACAGAAAAGAACAACAAGATCTAGGTGAAGGGACTGCCAGGGAATGAGAGATTAGGATTTGTAAAGCAAAGGGAAGTTGGCAGGGCCAGGGCTTTAGTGATCCAAGAAGATGAGCTTGATCAGGACAAGGAGGCTGCTGACTGGTGGGTCACGATATGCAAAACTTGCTTTGGCAGGACCAGAAGGTGGGCTGGGTCTCTGCCTTAGCGAGTGTGGTTTGAAGAATGCCAGAAAAAATTGAAAGAGGAAGTAAACTCCCCTTCAGGAAAGACTAGATGAGAAGTATAAGATGGAGACTTCCACATGTCCTTTTTGGAAATTATCTAAATTTGGAATCTTGTTAATTTGTGGATTTCTGTCAAAGGAGAGGATAAACACAATTTTTCTGGACCAATTAACCTGTATGGTATGGATATCAGCTAGTTTATCTCCAACATGCAAAGTTTGCTTTAAATATCCTTTCTTCTTGGACTATATACTATGTTTGAAAATGTTCTTTAACCAAGCTTTACCATCTTACTGGTATCCTCATTAACATAGCAGTTGAACAAAATATTTGACATATGTTCTTTCTATATTTTGATAAGTCACATGTTTATCTTTTTAAAAATTATACTCTGACCTTTTGTAGTGTATCCACTAAATGCCTAAGGAGAACTGCCTACCATGTATATCTATTGAAGGTATTACATATGAATAGTGAACTCTATATAAACTCAGGAATACTTCTCTTGCAACCTATAGTGATTCTTAAGATGTAGTATACATTTACTTTTGGGGATTTTGACCTTTTTTTAAGTTCTATTTTGTAGAGTTGAGGTTTCACTATGTTGGCCAGGCTAGTCTCGAATGCCTAGTCTCAAGGGATTCTCCTGCTGGGCTCGGTGGCTCAGCCTGTAATCCTGTGCCTTTGGGAGGCTGAGGTGAGTGGATTGGCTGAGCTCACGGGTTCGAGACCCGCCTGGGAAGGCAAGACCTCATCTCTACAATAAATCAAAAATTTAGCCGGGCGTGGTAGCGCACGCCTGTAATTCCGGCTACTCGGAAGGCTAAGGCGGAAGGATGGCTGGAGCCCAGCAGGTCGAGGCTGCGATGACCGGGAGTGGCCACTGCACTCCATTCTGGGCGACAGAGTGAGACTCCAACTAAAAAAAAAAGAAGATCCTCCTACCTTAACCTGGGATTAGAGGTATGAGCCACCATGCCTGTCCTGACCTTGTTTTTTTTCTTGATATCCTTTACTTTTATGAGACAGTGGATTGTATATGAATATTTGTGGTCACCAGCCTATATGTGATGACTGAGCTGGGAAAGGGGTTGAGAAAATAACAAGAGTCTAGTATATAAATAACAAAGTGGCTCTAGCACTGAGGACATAGCATATTATTGGTTAGTGACAGAGCAATGATGGAAGGGCACAGAGAAGAGTACTTGGTTTGAGAAAACCAGGAGAGTGCATTCTGGGCTCTTAACAGTTGACTTTGTGTCATGAAGGGGCAAAGTCACAGGTGATCTCAGCTCCCAGGACACAGAAAAGGAGGAAGACTAAGATAGCATCAAGATGACCAGGACTCCATGAGGTGGATAATGTCAGCAGTGTCCCAGGGGTGACCTGGGAGCAGTTGAGTTGCAATAGGAATAGAAAGAGACCTCACATGGCATGTGTGGTAGGGGGAGAGGTGCTGGTACTGGGCCCCTGGGTCCAGACATCACCTGAGGAAGAGCAGTGAAGGAGAAGCACCCATATAACGGCAGGTAGCTGGACGTCTGGTTTCACTTTTTCATTTTAATATTTTTAGAGACAGGTTCTTGCACTGTTACACAGACTGGAGTGCAGTGATGTAGTCATGATTCACTACAATCTTGACCTCCTGTTCTCAAGAGATCCTCTTGCCTCTGCTTCCTGTGGAGCTAGGACAATCAGCATGAGCCATCATGCACAAAAAATTTAATTTATTTTTTGTAGAGACAGGGGTCTTTCTATGTTGCCCAGGGTGGTCTTGAACTCATGGTCTTAAGAAGTCATTCACCACATCCTCTCCAGTATCTGCTATTTTTTGAGTTATTGATAATGGCCATTCTGACTGGAGTTAGGTGGTATTTCAGTGTAGTTTTAATTTGCATCTCCTCGTTGATTAGTGAGGTTGAACATTTTTTTCATGTGTCTGTTGGCAGCTTGTATGTCTTCTTTTGAGAAGTGTCTGTTCATATCTTTTGCCCACTTTGTAATAGGATTGCTTGTTTTTTCTTTTCAGTATGTTTGAGTTCCTTGTAGATCTAAGATGTTAGGCTTTTGTTAGACCTGGAGTTGTCAAATGCTTTTTCCCAGTCAGTGGGCTGTCTCCCTGATCTCTTGATGGTTTCTTTGGCTTTGCAGAAGCTTGTCAGTTTAATGAGGTCCCACTTGTCTATCTTATCTCTTTTTATTGTTTGTTTTTTGTTTTCTGTTTTTTTGAGTTGGAGTCTCACTCTGTCAGCCAGACTGGAGTGC